ATTTTGTCATTTTCAACAAATCTCTGGTTGAAAGGTTAGGTGAAATGCTAGTTATTTTACTAAGCTATGAGATGAAAGTTGCCATATGTGACTCTTTGGAGGTAGCTATATCAGTTTCGAAACAGTTAGTTATAACGTTTTCAGGACTGTCACTAAGATTTCAAGTTGCTGGATAAATACAACAAGTAGACAGTGAATTAAACAGTTATAGGGATTTCTTTTGATTCTATTTTTCTACTATTCTCTCATGAAAGTAGCTGGGGGTCACATTCCTCATAGATGGGGGAAATTTACAGCCCTCAACCCTTACTGGCAGCTCTGCTTTTTAAAGTAATTGTCTGTTCTGACAGAAATGTTACAGGTCAAATTTGATTTCAGGGTAAATTTTATTTTACCTATGGGTAGGTTAATTCAGAACTAACCAGAAATCAATTTAGCCTGTAACACATATATTTAGGAGGTCCTAACCCCCCCCCCACCCTCCCCCCTGGGTGTGCCACAGTGAATGCAATTGAAATTAGGCTATTTATTTAATCCGACGCGCGAGGCTTTTATCTATTCACACAGTGTCTCACACTCCTCACACCTGTCACCCCTGTAGGTCTGCTACATAGGATACATACAGTGCTGTCAAATTACTCTGTGAATTAGTTTTTTTGATTTAATGTATCGAAAGCCAATTAAAGGTGTTTTGAATAACGTCAATTTGACATTTTTCTGTAACATTTATTTGTTATTATTATTCAGAGATTTGGAGGACGCTCTCACCATGGGAGTGGACTGGTCTCTAAGAGAAGGTAAGCTTTTATGTCACTTCCTAACCCTGCATTATTAACGTTGGCCAAAATAAAAAATCCAATTTTTTGCGGTGAAAATCTCAAGATTTTAATAGTGCCAGTGTGTGAGTTGACATGGCGGCAAATCAACTGCATGATTTCCTTATAAACTTATTTAAAGCAGTAAAGAAAATTGAAGTTATCTTTGGATGAGTTTTTGAAGTCCTGGCGTAATATTATAGTTGTAAATCACATTGTTTTGTCACAGGGTATGCATGGGCTGAAGACAAGGAACACTGTGAAGAATATGGTCGCATGTTGCAGGCCGACCCAGCTAAAGTTAGTGCGAGAGCAAAGAAAAGAGGCTTACCACAGGTAAAACTAACAGCAGCTGTTTTTTCTCAAATAGTCAACATTCCTCTAGAGAACTGAACCTGGGCAAGTTGTTCAAAAGGGGGATAATGCTATCCACTGGATAAATCTCTGTCCAGTTGATAGCAAAGTTGGTTTCCCTGATACTATCCACTGGATAGTGACTTATCTAGTGGATAGCAGTGGCAGATCCAGGGGAACGGTCTGGGGGGGACCCCCCTTTCAGACCTGATACATGTAGACTGAAATTCTTACATCGAGAGGATGGTATAGCACTTTTTAACTGGCTGATTTGTTTAATGAAATGCACATTGGATTTTGCCACTAAACTAAATTCCAGGGCTATTCTTTAATGATATTGCTTTTGGGTACCCTCCTATGATCTGTTCACCTCTGCTCGCATAACAGTATTTTCCGCTCCAGTGAAGACCAGCATTCACAGATTGAGAAACACATGGTCGTCTGTGTGAGAAGGAATTTGCCACAAAAAAGTTCAACAGTCCTTTCTGAACCAAAGTTTGGACCACCCCTCCTAACAAAAAAATTCCTGGATCTGCCCCTGCCCCTGGATAGAGCTATTCAACGTTTGAACAACCAGGGCATGGAGAGTTTCCCTGATTTGCGCCATATCCTAGAGATTTCTGAGAGAGTTATGATTAGCTTATATGACATCACTGATTCACAGTCGTAATTTCGTGGAAGTTGACAGTACAGTTGTATTGGAAAGAGGAAGGAAAGTTGTAATTGTGAGAAGTTAGCTTTTGTGTCATGATGGAATGTTAGCATTTTTACTGTGTGACTACTAAACCAAGTCCTCCTTACTAACACAAATTTTATGACTTCTATTAACTTAAAGTATTTTTTTCCTGTTAAGCTTGGTACATTAGGAGCTGGAAATCATTATGCTGAGATCCAAGTTGTAGATGAAATATACAATATGCACACTGCAAAGAAAATGGGAGTGGATCGTCCTGGTCAGGTAATCAAGGCGGTCGAAGTTGCGTATTGATGCCCACTAGGTAGTCTGTCTTATCCATCTGCCAAGAGCTCTGACCCACGTACAGTAGTGACCACTCCCACTAATTGATATATTACGTTACAGCACACAAAGACCATCTTGATAAGATAACAGGGCTAAAATCGTGGACAAAACCACATTGTTTCGGGGGTGAATTGATCTGTGTTGAACAACACAGGGAGAGCATTTTAAATTTTGAATTCAAAGGAGCGTATTATTTTTCTTAAGTAGTTTTGTCAAAGATTGTAGGTCACGATGTTTCGGCATTTTCAGCGCTGTTAAGTTTGTGTGATAAAAAAGAAGGATGCAATGTTCAGCAATAAGAGCATGTCACGAGCTCTAAAAAAACTTTTTCTCCCTAGACAGGAATCGAGCCATTTTGGTTTAGCTATATGGCTACTCTATAATTTAGTCCGGCTCCGACTGATAATTTTTAATATCTATTTTTTAACAATTCAGGTTTGTATTATGATCCATAGTGGAAGCAGAGGACTCGGCCATCAAGTAGCTACCGGTGAGTAGTAATTCTGATTTTAATAGAAATTTTGAATAGAATTCTCCGATTATAAAAAGGCTTTTTTCGTTGTCATTTCTTCTTTTCTGCCTGTAATTTTGCAGATGCCCTTGTTGCTATGGAGAAAGCAATGAAAAGAGATAAAATTGAAGTTAACGACAGACAGGTTTGCTGACGTTAGTTGATTTTTCTTTCGGTTAAGAAGTGCTAGCTATTCGAAATAAATTAAAAAGGTTGTCGCATTCATATCCTAAACTTTTCCTTGTTTCCCGGCACTTTGTGGTCACTTAAGCGCCATTACGTTGGTCCTTTTCCCACTATTGCATTCGTTACTTTCCTGCCATTTCATTTGTCATTTTCCCGGCACTGCGTTCAGTACTTTTCCCCCACATTACGTTTGTCATTTTCCCACCATTGCATTCTCATTTTCCCGCCTTTCCGTTTGTCATTTTTCCGCCATTGCGTTCGTCTTTTCCCCGCCATTTTGTTTGTCATTTTCCCGCCATTACGTTTTTTATTTTCCCGCCATAGCGTTCGTCAGTCGTCACTCTCCCGCTGTTCCCGCCATTACTCGTCACCTTCCCGCCTGTATGTTGATCATTTTGTCACTTGGTCGCCATTACGTTTGTCATTTTCCTGCCGTTTCGTTCTTCACCTCTCGCCTGAAGATTTGTCCTGAGTTTTAAGCGCCTTTTCCCCATCATTGTGTTCGTATCTTCCTCGTCTGTGAACTCGGAATCTTTAGTACAGATTTAATGTAAAAGCGGCCAAATCTTTCTAACACAACCCCTCTAATCTGGGTGGAAAGTTATTGTGGTATGGCTAAAAGCAATTATGTCACATTTTTACAGCTTGCCTGTGCAAGAATACATTCCGTAGAGGGGCAGGATTACCTAAAAGGTATGGCTGCCGCAGCTAATTATGCTTGGGTCAACCGATCCACAATGACGTTCCTAACAAGACAAGCGTTTGGCAAAGTATTCAAAAGTACCCCAGATGATCTGGATATGCACTTGATCTATGACGTGTCACACAACATCGCGAAGATAGAGGAGCATGTATCCTTTATGTACTTATTAATTTAAACATACCGTTTGTTTACCTAAGGTAAATTTGTATATTTTTTAGTTTACAGTTGTCTTTGATTGTATCCTCACGGCACTCGTCACGTATAAAGAGACTTCAAAATTTTTACTTGAAGGCATGTGACTGCTTAGGTGGTCGCCCTAACTTTTGCAAATGTGGTTGAAATATAATATTTAGTGTGCAGTTCAAACTTTTGAGTCTGTGGATAAAATCATAATGTGTAACTATTCAAACAAAACCTCTGCGGCAGTACTTTCACATGGTACTATTTGTTTAGTTTGTAGTTTAAACTTTGGAGTTTTTGGATGAAATCCTAATGTCTAACCATTCAACCAAAACCTCTTCAGCGGTAGTTTCACATGGTGCTATTTCATTATTTTAGTATTTAGTTCTAAGGTTTGGGTCTGTGGATAAAATCCTATGGTGCGACTATTCAAATAAAACCTCTTTAGGTACTTTCACCTTATAGTATTTATCTAGATGTATTGCTAACTGTGAACTTTGTGGATGAAATCCTAAGGTGTGAGCATTCAAATAAAACCTCATCGAGTCTTTTTTCGTGTTACAATTTAAAAATGTAACTTGAGATTGTGTTTTGGCTCTCTTAACCGCACTAAAGATGTTAGATGGCGTTCAAAAGACTCTTCTTGTACATAGAAAAGGATCGACCAGGGCATTCCCTCCTCATCATCCTCTTATTCCCGTAGATTATCAGGTTAGTATTGTTTTGTAGTTTTTTTCAGTACGCAAGCATAGGAAATTCTGTACATCACGATTTAATTACTTCGTTGAGGTCCGTAGTACGAAATTGATTTTTTTTTTGGGGGGGGGGGGGGGGGGCAAATAAATTATTTCTTTTCCCAATGGAAACTTTCAACCCCCCGAATTAATTTTTTTTTTTTTTTGGTTGCTTGCCCACCCAGTTTTTTTGGGGGGCCCCTGGGGTACTTTAGGGAAAGCCTTTTTTTCACCCCCCCCTCCAAAGTCCTTTTTTTTCTTCCTCCCTCCCCCTCCATTACTTTTTTTTTTGTTTTTTTTCATTTTTTCGGCCTTTTTTCCATAATGTACTCTCTTTACCAAATAAAAAAGTGCCAGCCGGCCACTCCCCCCCTTTTCCTTCTTTTTCCCCAAATATTTTATGTTTTTTTTTTTTTTTTTTTTTTTTTCGTCACCAAAAAAAAGAAAATTTTAGACATACTTTTTTTTTTTTTTTGGTGGGGTCCGTAGAAGAAATTTTTTTTTTTTTTTGGGGGGGGGGGGGGGGGGGCAAATACATTATTTCCTTGTCCAACTGTAACTGTCAACTCCACTGAATTAGTTTCTTTTATTTGTAGCTGACTGGCCAGCCAGTTCTTATTGGAGGCACCATGGGTACTTGTAGGTAAGCCCTTTCTTCACCCCACCCTTCAAAGTGCCTTTGTTTCGTACTCACTCACGCTTCATTGACTTTTTATTTGGCTTTTGTACATTTTGCTGGCATTTTTCCAAGCATTTTAGTGAAGCAAAAGCATGAATCATTATTCGAACATTTTAGTGGAATTTTTTCAGGAAAGTATATCTTTTTTTGCGAGGAAATGAAAATGAAAAAAATAATTTAAAGAGAAAATGAACAATTTATGTCGAAGTTCAAAACCGAGAAAACTCAAATGTCACCCTAATACAGCCGTTAGAGTGTTATCTTTTGCTCTGTGAAAACCATGAACTTGTATACATTGTTGTTTTACCACCTAATGTTGTTTTAGCGTTAAAAGCGTCTGTATGACGAGCGTTATCGAGCATTTTAGTTACTTTTTTGAGGGCGACCGATTATTTTAGTGGAAAAAATGGAGCAGTAAGGTGGAGCCTTTTTGTGGGAAAGTAAACGGATAATATACAAAAGCCAACTTTTTTTTGTTTTTTTGCTTTTTTACACAGTTATGTTCTAACGGGAACAGAGAAAGGAATGAGACAAACCTTTGGTACAACATGTCATGGGGCTGTAAGTGATGTATATGATTAGACAAACAGATGATTCCCAAATTCTTTGTTTTGTAATGCCCCTTAGTGCTTAAACTGTAATTAGCAATTAGCAATTGCTATTTTGCGGGCCAGTGTATTGTAATCTACATTTTTAGTAAATAAAGTTGAAGTTGAAGTTGCTCTTCAGCATCTCTGTAATGGTGCTTAAACTGTTTCAGAGTTGAAACAGTTTCAGTGACAAACGTGAACTTCAAAGCAAATTATTTGTCCACTCCTAAGTTGATTCTTGAGGCAGATTTACATATTTAGAAATGATTCTTAATGACCCTTAATTGACTCCAAAAGCTCAGAATTGTTTTTTTAAGTTTCAGGGAAGCATGAATTTTGTAAAAAATACTTTTTATACAATTTAATAATTTTACGTCAGCTTTGAAAGGTTACTTGATTTTTTAAAAAACTTCTCACTATGCACTGTTGTGTTTTTATAGGGCAGAGCTTTATCTAGATCCAAGTCTCGGTAAGCTTTGGTTGGTCCCTAAAGGTGGCCAACTGTTAATTTCTCCTTATACTAGCACCGTCAATCGATAACTGAGGTTGTAAGGGAAAAGCAAATTATCAACAATTAAAAAAGGTCTTGATTGTGAGGCAAATCCTCGTCATCAGTATCATAACTCCGCCCGCATCGTCTAACTTTCACTATTTGCAGGCGGAGATGCATGGCAAATTGATGTGTATGAAAATAAAGTATAGTATAGGGAATATGTGGGAAACAGTAAGGAGAATATACATGCTGATATTAGGGTTTTAAGAGTTAAGGGGCTAGCTGATTTTGGCATCTATCAGTTAGTACTTGAATTTACCAAAACCACTTTCGAATAATGGTGTTGAAATGAAACAAAACACGGAATAGCCTTCAAGCATCTCCTATTCGCCACTTTAAAACAAGAAAAGAACTGGAGCCGCAATGGTTTCTGGGATCGTAACTGGGGACGCGACGGTCAGCTATTGGTCAATTTTTTCGTTGTCCCTAGTAACAGTCCCAGAAGTCCTTGCGAAAGTTAACTCGCCCCAGGTTCCTTCTTTTTCTAAAATGGGGAATCTGGAGACGTCTACGCGCACGCCAAACACAGAAGAAATACAGGAAAGCATTAGGAGAGAGTATTTATGAGGAAAATTTGATAAGATTAGAATGGATAGCGTACAAGTAAACTGAAACAAGGTCTGTCTGTCTTTTGTTTGAAAGTATGACTTAAAGAACTCGTCATTAATGATAAATAAAATCTCAACTAAAATCTCCATGATTATGAGAAAATGCCTTCTCCTGTCGATCAAATCACCCTTTTCGAGAAAGGCCACTTCCTCTCGCATTTCTTGATTTTGGATCGTCACGAACTACTTTACTATGCTTTGTTTTTCGTTTTTAGACGACAGCTTGATTATCAAGATGTGTTGGATAATCTTAAGTCAAAGGGGATATCTATCAGAGTTGCCTCGCCAAAGCTTGTCATGGAAGAGGTACGCTTTTCACATATTTGGGGTTTTCAGGGCCAATATCCTTTTGCATTATTTTGCAAGGTATTTTCGCTGATCGTTGCGGATCACTTTTGCCTTGTGTTGGCGAATCTTTGCGGAATCTTTCGCCCTCTCCTCCCTCCCTTCTGTCATGTGTGGGTGTGCAGGTAAGTACATTTCACCTGGTAAGTATCTTTTCCACTGAGTATTTTTCTCAGTGTGATGGTGCAAGTTAGCGGCTGTTGGCAGGGGTGGTTCCCGCTTCCAGGGTTGCCTTGGTTACCTCCTTGCCTTATTTTTCGCTAACCTTTTAGGCACCAGTTCCCAAGCTCATCAATTGGCGATGAGTTTAACGCTATCTTTACTGTCCATGTTAACGTCATTCAACCTCTTTCAGGCACCTGAATCTTACAAAAACGTAACAGATGTAGTCAATACCTGTAAGTATCTCTACTTATTTACTGGCCAACTTTGTTTCTTTCCGAGAAATATCATAAGTGTCATGAGGTTTATTCAGTTTCTCTAATGATTTGAGGAAAAACAGCTTTTAAAATTACGGTTTATTTAACAAATTCAGTTTAATCATTTCGTACAATATTTTAATATTTTTTCTGTTCAGTCGATATACCAGTTTTTGCAGTGTAATAATCTTGTAATTATATTTACATGTTACTGAGTTAGATTTTACGAGTTAAAAGCGTAAGTAGAATAAACAGATTTTTGTCTGTGACATTGCGTACAAGTCTGATACATTACTATATTTACAGTACTCTACAGTACTATACAATACTACGTATTTTCAGGTCACGATGCAGGAATCAGTCAAAAGGCGATCAAACTCAGGCCAATCGCCGTGATCAAAGGATAAAAGTACTCAAACAATTTAGGAAAACCATGGTCTATGATGACTGTAAAGATCCTATGTTGGATATCTAAGAGTCTCGATCCACTGCTCCCCATTCGCGTACACTGGAATGGTAAGGAAAGAAAGAGACTGGAATATTGGAACTCAAGAACAGAGGACTCAGACTAAGGAACTCAGGAACCGAGGAGGCAAGTATTAAACATGCTGCGGAGCAACTTTAACTATTGTTACTTCCAAAAACGCTTGTTTTGCTACTTTGCCAGACAATACTGGCATAAAGATCATCAGCTCATCGTATTTAAATAAAAGAAATGTCATCTCTTTTCTTTACAGTCTATATTATTTTCTATAAATATTCTTTATACTCCACTCTAGAACGGCTTAATAAAGCGGAGTGCTTCAGAAGCGCCGATACAAAATGGCTATTTTTATTGCGGACTCAAATAATTTGGGTATCATAGGCCTGAGGCATCGTTTCGCTTACAAATTGATCCGGAACATTGCCGACTGAGCGTACTTATTACTTCATAACAATTTAAGACCTAGTTGGCTTGTACCCTGTCTTTTTTTTTCCTCGCTAAATTACACCGTTTTCAATGGTTTCGCACCTTTCTTAGCCTGGCGAAAGTGACTTGCTGGCGTTGCATACAACCCATTTGTACTACTGTTAAATTGGTAGTTTTCTTAAATCTGTTATCACATCTTATAACAAACGTTATACGTAATTCGTGTTGGTGTGGTTGCAGTTTGATATCAGCTTGGTCTTTGAGCAATGTTGCATTGCATTGTTAGCGGTACATGACGATATACTTCATGTAATGGCCGAGTAATCTTGCACTTGTTGCTAGAAAAAATAGGGTAAACCTATTGCGCAGACATCCTACTGTTGGTAGGACTGTGGTGCGTATACACAGCGGTATTGCTCGCCAAGAGTGTGTGTGTGAAGGCGAACATGGCAGAGATCGTTGTGTTTACTGTTCCGTCTACGTGTTTGTATATTGCTCTTTAGTCATGGCCTTACCGGCCGGTTAACACTACCAGATAAAGACATTCCAAAACCTTAATGGAACCGTACCATGCTAACGTTATCTGGAACGGAGGGTTCCTTCCTTTATATATAATATATCCCCTTTTTACACTGTACTAAATTAGAAGTTATATTATATTCAAATCTCTCTCTTGTTATTTGGATTCGAGAGACCTTCTTACGAGATTAGATCACTGTCTGATGGAGTCTTAAGGCTTTCAAACCGGAAGCGGAAGCGCCTTGTGCGCATCGTAAGTGGGATTTTTGGGTTGCTCGGCACTTTGCAGCGGTTCGTTATCACTGAGAAGTTAAAAGAGAAGAAAACAGAGATTAAGTGCATCTGAGTGTTAATGTTAACTCCTTGAGTATTGTAAAGAGTTACGTTTACACAGAACTTGAAAATAGGTAGAATTCTTTTTCTTGTGTTGAAGTTTTCTGGCATCTCGACGTTCTTACAGACGCGTTTGATGACTTGCTATTAGACGACTTTCGGGATAACGGACTCACCATCATCTTCTCAAACACGGCTCGGAATCGCTTCTTAAAACAGATCAACATCCATGGATTGACGGCGCTGTTCGCGTGTCCACACCAGTAGCAAATCAACATGATATACCCTGGAAACCTTTCAAGCACGGTCATATCGATCGCTACCATCGTGTGAAAGACATGCGCGGGGAGCCAGCAAAGTCCAAACGCTACCACGATTGCTATCGACATGTTTATCACTTGGTGTTTGGTTTTGTTTGCTCGATCACGCGCCTTGTCTTGTCTTACAGACGCGCCAGGCAAAGTGTGAGACTTAAGTTTGCGGCAGACAACTCCATACAGAAAGCTCATTGTAGTTAAAGGAAGTATATAAATGCTGGTTACTATGTAGAGAAATATTCCCCTGACGGCATCTTGAAGCTCCCCCAGTTGACTAAATTCATAGGAAACGTTGGAATCCTCCACTTTAGGTATGATTAACCAAGGGCTCATAAGACACATGGAACTTATCCATATACAGGGTACAAAGACCTTCTTATTCCTTAACTTTGGGAACCTCTGCATTGGCCTTGTGATGCTGAAGAAACAGTCAAAGGCAATGGCATTTAACGAGAAGATTGACGCCGTAAGCGAAACAAAAAACGTAAATGTTACGAACTTCAATAGCAATTCTCCAATTAGTCCACTTATCCAATTTTCGTCCGTTAATATGATTGTTAAGGACTGCGGCATTACTACGGTAGTCACCAGCAGGTCGGCCACAGCGAGGTTTACATACATGAAACTTGTTAAACGTCTGGTTTCGGGCTTTTTGTACAAGATATAGATCACCAGAATATTGCCAACCAGTGATAAAGACATGGTGATACTGTACAAAACCAGGGCGATTATCTTGACTTCTGGTCCCCATCCAGGGGGTGGGCCTGTGGTATTTGGCATGATTGTGTTGCCACCAGGTGGGGTCACTGTGTCTTAAAAAAAGAGCAAAACAAAAATTCAAATGCTGACTAGGCTATGGTGTTTTGAGGGTCCCGATCTTTAAATAGGGCGTCATTTTGCCCTTGTTGGCATTGTGTTCCTGGTGAAGTACCTAAATTGTATCTGCTAAAATTCAAGTGCATAAATGCCTAGATACGTAAGAAACAAGTCATCTGTTTTATCCTTTAGAGTATTCTAAAAGCGATTTAATGAAGTTTTGTGTGATGACTTCGTTTTTCCCTTAAATAAGGTGTCATTTTTCGTGTCGGGACCTGAAATTGGGTATCAGTTTTTGTTGGTCTCATCCTCAAATAAGGTCAGGCCACACACCTATCTGAAGTAAATGGGAGTGCCCCCCAACCTCCCCCGGTGCTGATGTTTAGGGACTTAACTTTTAAACCCAAAAACTGACTTGTGTTTTGTTCTGGACGGTGACACCCATTTGAAACTCCCCAAAGGAGACCAATCTGGTTGTGTGACGAGCTTTGACCCCTTAAAGGTGACATTACCCTGACAGCCTCCTGGTCATTCCTAAATAACGCAGCCAACTCTGTGGGGGACTCAAAGATGTAGTCTTCATCTTTATGTTCCCCGCCTAGGGCGTGTGGATGCTGATGGTGTCGTGGAACTTTACTTGAATCCAAATTGCTACGTTGTCGCAGCCCCCTTCATTTTAGAGTTTGACGCATAATTGGTATGTAGACAAAACAAAAACGTTCTTTATCTTAGCTAGGGTATGTTTATTGCGTCCGATGATGGGCGCAGTCCATCACCGCTGATGGTGATAACGCCTAAAATATTTCAGCATGCAGCCCAAACTTTTTACGTCCAAGCTCATAGTAAAAAATGCCGTGGCCACAAACTTGTGAACAGACTTAACACTTGTTAACTTACCATTCGATGAAAGTAGTCTCGGCTGAGAAGACATCATCCCAGAACTGAGGTGTTGCAAACAATCAATTCGTTTTCCTGACAAAAAGAAAAGATAAATTTGTGGTATAAATGTAGATCATCTGGGTTTGTTACTGAGATCGCCTTATTGATGTAACCACATTTGTTACAAACTTATCGCTACAAATCACCAACGAAACTTTACGTTTAACAATTTAGTTCTTGCGTCGGCGTGCGTATGTCGGGTTATTGAGCACGCGGGAAGTTTGGAAAGCATAAGAGAGGCGTAAGAGTTGCTTGAGTCGCAGCCGAGAACAACTTTAACCTCTTGAGTACTCTCCAAACTTTCCAAGTGCTCAATATCTCGACATACGCACAGCTGAAGCATGAACTAATTGTTAAACGTAAAGTTTCTTTTGTGATTTGTAGCGATAAGTATGTAACAAATGTTGTTACTTCAATAAAGCGATCTCACTAAGCTTCGCCTACAATAAACTGCATATTTCAGGTCGTCTAAAGTGCGTTGTGTCTACGTTTTTTCTATTAGCTCACAAGATCTTGCAAACCTAGTTTGCTTGTTTGCTGTTTCTTTTTTTTCACTTTTTTAAAACTCTCTTTCGAAGTTCGGTTTTGACAGTGTTCTTCGGTTGCTTTGGCAACTAATTATATTCAGTACCATGTAATAAAAAAACACCACAACGAAGACAAGATTCCAACTGCTTTTAAACCTTTTGATTCTCTTGAGTACTCTATAAAATCCGGCAACATCTATGAAAAAAATTTACCCTTAGAGAATTCGCTGGAATGGTCACGCTGCAGGCTTTCCTCAAGACTCAAAAGTTAGAACTTAATACTAAATTAATGTTACCATATGAAAGTACTACTAAAGAGGTTTCATTTGGGTGGTGATACAACAGGATTTCAACCGCAGGCTCAGAGAGTTGAGCTACCTTCCAAAAAAATAGTATCAAGAGGAAGTACTGCTGAAGAGGTTTCAGATGGTCCGTGACACAATAAGATTTCCTTACCGACTCAAAAGTTAGGATTGCATTTTTTCTTCAGAAAAAACAATCTCCATCCTTTAGATATAGACCAGCGACTTCGTGCGGTGTCTCCTTTTTCAGCTTTATCACGTCATCATTCAAGACTTGGTGGTTCATTGAGCTTAAAAACTCTTAAAGTCCCGTCATAATTCAAATACCTCAGATTCATAACTGAACCGCGGAGCCCCCTGGAAATCCGGTCTAGAGTGCGTGATCAGCACGCAATACGTAAAACGATCCTCGTTGATCATGTCCATACACATCAGATACATGTTTGACATTAACAAATTTGAAAAAAAAAAACTGAAAGACTGTCAAAGTTGGTCTGGTTTTAAGTAGTTTTATTGACTTTGGACGAAATCCTTTGATGCGACCATACAAATGGAACATCTTTAGCCCGTGTTTTTGTTTTCGTTTTGTTTTTCCTTTTCTTGACCATTGACATTTGTCTTTTTTTATTACCTATTTATGTTTCGGGCGCTCGTGACGTTGAAAGATTGCTAAATTTAAATCAGAAGCGATCCGCATTATTTTCCCTTTAATGTGGCTGTTTATTGATATTGTTTATTGATATATCGATAACGTCCTTTCACGTGAAGAGTAAGAAAGCACATTGTTATTGGAAGAAACGGAATGATAAAAACAATATTGATTAAACTATGATTGAGAAAAAAGGAGCGAGAAACTTTGCTGCGTTTTACCTTTTATCTGTTAATTCGTTGATTTATAGAGCTCCGCAACCAACATCATTCTGCGAAAACTCCTCGGGAACAAAACATGAACTACAACTCTTGTACCAGTCTGTTAAGACTAGTGAATACCAGTTATTTTAAACAAAGGTAGTAACGACTTACGGACTGTGTGTTGTGCTTACCACACTCGAATTAAGTACACCGCGCGCGGAGGTCTTGTAATGAGGTACCTGAAACTCTTGAGTTCGTCGATTAAATCCAGGTGACAAGAGATCTTTTTCTAACCATGACTGAAGCTCACAGTTCTTGAAAATTGTTTCTCTTTAATGAGACTGTTTGTAGACGGAAGGTCTACAAACACGTTCGTGTCAGTATAATTATCAAAACTAGCGAATTTTTTCCCTACTTACGCTTAGTTGGGAGTAATCCAAACCCGTCAAGGCGGAATCAAAACATTTTTTAATGCGGATCAATTTTATGAGTGCACATGCAAAACAAGTCAAACAAGTGAGCGTATTAAGGCCAGGTTCAATCGTATGTGACGAACCTTATGCTAATGAGCAAAATCCACTGTTCTCGCTTATTAGCATTAGTTTCGGCGCAGTTCGGCTGAATTGCAACAGTTTTAATATTCCATCTTGCCGTCGTTTGAAGACTGCCTTTAGTGATCGGTTCACTGGCAGGGGCATCCAACGAGAATATAGTTCAAAACCACTTAAGCATAGCATTGTTGAACGTATTTTAGTATTTAAACAGTAAGATATAGGCATATTTTCATCCCCTAAGAATTTTTCATCTTTTCGGATTTCATAGCTGAAAGTCTAGTGATCCGAAAATTATAGGGATCAAAACTTACCTTTTCGAAAATTTCAGCCAGAAAAAAGGCTCCCGAAAATTCTACAATGAGGGACAAAAGTGTTGACACACTTCCGTAAAATGGCCCCTTTTTGCATAGTGGATATACTTATCCCCTTCCCCTGTCTACCCCAACCCCTTCCCCCCAAAATCAATGTTGAATTTTGGACCCTCAAGTCTTTTTTTTACTTCAGACAACATTGATTCGGGGGGTCGGGGGATTTACGGCGTTTAAAAGGAATGAAATAATAAATGAATTAAATGTTTGTTAAAAGCACCCGTTTTAAACAAGTATGTCAACTACTTTTGTCCCTGATTGTCTGAAATATGTATCTGTGTTTTCCGGCTAGATTTTTGACGCTGCTGAATTTTTGTCCGATGACGTTACTCTATGGGCCAAATTGTTTGTTTTTAAACATCAATTTATAGAGTTTCGTCCTGATTTGTAGTATACGTAGAGTAAAATGTACGAAGCGTATGTCATTACTTAATCTTGTACTCCCGCGCGCGTTCCTGATACCCTGCCGGGTCGAGACGAAATGATTTGTGTTGTGATCAATGCCGTTGCTGCGGATGTAATGTTTTCACAAGTATTATCAATAGTGGAAAAAGGATGGAAACATTACGGTACAATGGAAATTGTTCTGGTGAATGGTTAACTTAAGCGAATGAAGTACTGCAGAGTAACAGAGGGGATGGACATGCAATATTTTTGACATTGACCTTTGCCATTAGTGAAAGGACGTGAACAATATACAGGTTATGAACCTCATAAATGATGGGCCAGCCGTTTGTGCTGTGCCCTATATATAGATGTGTTTTTTATTTTTTTGAGACCTTTTCTAACCTAACTGATCCAAACCTTTAGCGTAGGTAGGCGTCGAACAGCTTAGACCAGGTTAGGAATGTACTTTTGTAATGATTTTTAATACATGACCGCCTGTCATTTATTCATGATTGTTTATTGATGTTGGACGGACAACTATTTCATTTCCCAGCTCGTAAATCACAGAATGCCAAAGAAATTGTTTTCAAGATAGACACAACAGTTTGTATCATCGCCAAAACAGCAATTACTTTGGCCCAGAAGTTCACCTGATGACAAGCAAAGCGGGATAACACGTGATCGATGACGGCCGTGCGCCGGAAAATTTTCCTCACAAAAGGGCAAAAGAAGATTCCGCTATGTAGAAAGTGCTTCGCAATACCTATTCTTGGCGAGAAAAATTCCAGCGATGTGGTGCAAATAAGGAGTTTCAACGGTTAACCACGAGAATACATATCGACATTAAGAGGTCATAACAGACTAATGTTACTTTCCGTTTGCCGAAACGTGGTTAACCGTTGTAACACGAAGGAAGCAGTGTTTTCCTCAGTTTGAGCTGTCGTTTTCTTTGAGAGTCAAATACCAGTTCACGTTTCAAAGCTCTCTTTTCATTTTCTCTGGCGACAACACACACAAACACAGGGTTTCGCTTGAGAAATGCAGTCGAAATACACAGACATATGCGCTTATGTCACGCTATTTGCGTTGCGTTATCATGTCACACAGGGTGTCACGAGGTGGGATTTAAAGTAATTGTTTTCGTGTACACTTGCAATGTTTGCTGCGCTGTCCTTAGTTTTTTATTGAATTGGCCATGAATTTACCTTCACTTTTCTGTAGTTTCGATATTGAACGCAGTGACGGCCGCTCCTCACTAACGCTCCATATTTCCGTGGCCGGCCAGTGACTATCCCCGCTACGTGTCAATCCTTACCCTATCCGTGATTGTTTGGGCCTTAACAATAGGATAAAGTGAAGAACGAGAAATATCCACTTTATTAAAAATATTTTCAGTACGCACCCCCTTGAAATTCATCAAAAGTTGTACATAGGCGCGAGTTTCAGCGTCAGTTTTTAGCTTGTAAACCATATCGACGTTAATTCTGGATATCGCAGCCCTTTTATTACGTCATCGCGTAATTCGAATTGGCCCTATAATTCGGTCGTGGATAAGTCTATGTCACCCCCACCACCAATAACATAATTATGTCATTGATTCCTTTAATCTCAGTTAAAATCAGGGTCATACACGGCTCAACTTGTGTGCAGTAGCACAATTTTGCATTCAGACAATGAGGGACAAAAGTGTTGACACACTTCCGTAAAATGGCCTCTTTTTGCATAGTGGATATACTTATCCCCTTCCCCTGTCTACCCCAACCCCTTCCCCCCAAAATCAATGTTGAATTTTGGACCGTCAAGTCTTTTTTTTACTTCAGACAACATTTATTCGGGGGGTCGGGGGATTTACGGAGTTTAAAAGGAATCAAATAATAACTGAATTAAATGTTTGTTAAAAGCACCCGTTTTAAACAAGTATGTCAACTACTTTTGTCCCTGATTGTATAGGTGACCTTTTTAGGCCGAAAATTCGTTAAAAATGGACAATTATACCATTTTTAAGAAGTTCGAAAATCCTAGAAGAGGCAGGCAAGCAAGAAATTTTATTACAACAAATGTTCCGAAAATTCTAGATCTCAAATCTTCTTGCGAAGATATATTTTCCAAAAATTGACGTTGGCTGCCCCTGCACTGGGTGGAGATATAGCTCCGACAAACCTCAACCAGGTGGCCACTTGTTAGAGGTTGTCTGCCTGCTTTACACCGGTTCTATTTACTCTCAATAAACTACTGACAGTTAGCCGCCATACCCCTTGTATTTGACCTTAAAATAGAGGATTCAAAGTAGACAGACTGCAAATTATCTTAGTTGCTAAAAAATATATATCTACGTGTCGCGGATGGCCGCTTAGTTAATACTAAATAGGTGTTTATTATTTTTTTCTGTCAGACCAAAGATATATGTGCACTCTTGAGATGTTTATAACCAACTGCTCTTTGACAATCTCATTCTCGTTTCCTTTTGTGTCATTGTCCTCACTCCAACGACCTTTTGACTAGAGGGCTTCCCGTTTTGAGGCCGCACGATTAGTGTCTAAAGCTTGCAACTGACTCTCACGAAATTTCACCTATACCGATCACGCACTGAGTCCACGAAGTGGGATATGGATGCGTTATAAAGCATTGTCAACCGAGTCTACGCTTAATTACATAAGTTTAAAAGGGGATCTGATTTTCAGGAATTGAACAGTTTGTTTAAGTTTGCTAAGATTTATTCTGTTTATCTTGTTTGCAAACTTTTGGTTACTGAATTTCGGTTAAACTGGCAACATATAACGAACAAACAATGCCAGTAGGAAACCTTAGAAACCTATCAGTGAATGACAGCGCCCGTTTACAGTCCGTGGCGTCCCGAATAAGAATGCAAAATCACACTGCAGGGCTGGGAAAAACCAGCAGTGGATGAGACTTGAAAATTGGTTCCTTCGCCTCGCGGATTAAATCAAATTAATGACTTTTTCCTGTTTTGTTTTAACAAGAATGAAGAACAGTTTTCCCCAGGGGAAGAAATAAAACATTAGGGTTGCGTTCGATTGGGAAATCCGGATTTAGATTTTCATCTAAATCCGGATTTCCCAATCGAACGCGAAATCCGAAAACGGATTTCACCTCCGAGAAATCCG